AAATTGAGCAACCAGTGAAGCAAACATTTTGAAGAATTAGAAGAAAATTATAAGAGATTGGAAAGAGCAGAGTGTTTGGCATACCTTGGAAGAAGTAAAAGAAGTTCGAAGAGGCTGAGGACGGTGAGCAACGTTGCAGAGACTCTGAAACGTCCAGAAACGATGCGGCGGCGGCAGTGGTTTCTGCGGGATGCGGCGACGGCGGCGACTTTGGTGGGGAGCGACCACAGTGGGATGAAGGAAGAGAGGGAAAAATCGACGGGTGGAGTCGCGGATTGAAATTTGTTTAAACAAAATAAGATTGCGCTGAAAACCACCAAGGAGATTATTATTATTATTATTATTATTATTATATTTTTGGAATTCTAAAACAAATTAGTTTGAAAACTATTTTATTTTTCTATTATATAATTTAAAAATTAGGCTTGTTTGCTCAAAAAAAATTATTTGCTATGTTTTTCAAATACATTTGAAATTTTAGTGAAATTTTAGAAATAAAAATAAGTTCTTGAATATTACTTTTTTCATTTTCTTAATTTAGTTTTGATTTAAAAAAGTTATTGAAGAATTATTAACCACAAATGTGAAAGTAATAGTTATAAGATTAATTTTAAGACGGTAAAAATAAAAAATGTAATAGTTATCAAACAAGTTATTAATAATATAATAATTTTTTTATAGTTTCACACCATACGTACACCTAACATTATTTATTTATAAAAAAAAAATTTTGAATTAATAAATTGGTACATTGATAAAAATAAATCTTAATAAAATGCTACAAGGGGTAACTCTTATTATTATAAGTATTCAAAAAATTGATGAATGTTACGGCGATTTTCAAAGTTTTGTTTTTTAAAATATAATTATTTTCAAAACTAATTTTTAAAATACTTTAAATTTCAAAATTATTTTAAAAATAATAGCCCCAACGTTTTTATAAAAAAACGTTTGGATAAGATTATTTATTGAAACATTTTTAATAAAGCATTAGGATATTTTATGTTATCCCAGCCTTTTTACAAAAACGTTGGGATAAAATTAATTCTCTCAATGTTTTTAGTAAAACGTGGGGATAAGTGACCTTCACCTAAGGAGGGATCTTTGCCCCACGTTCTAATTAAAACGTAGGAATATTTAGTGCATAATTTTGGTATGTTTGAACTTATCAACCCATATTTCCAACGTTTGTTTGCAAAACGTCAGAAGAAATAACATATATATCGACGGTTTTTATAAAACGATGGGGGAACTCATGACGTTTTATTAAAAATGTTACGAAACATAAAAACGTTAGGAATAAGTGATCTTCTCCCAATGTTTTTGTAAAAATGTGGAGAAAAGAAATATGTAGTGCGTAATTTTTGTATGTTTAAACTTATCAATTCATATTCCCAACGTTTGTTGCAAAACGTTAGAGGAAATAACATATATATCGACGCTTTTAATAAAACGATGGACGAATTTATCTCAACGTTTTTGTAAAATCGTTGGTATAAGATTATTTCTCGCAACTTTTTTAATAAAACGTTGGGATACAGTATATTTTTCTAACTTTAGGATAAAATTACTTCTCTCAAAGTTTTTAATAAAAGATGGGGATAAGTGATATTCTCCCATCGTTTATTAAAAAACGTCGGCAAAACTCATAATTGTCCCCATAATTTTATTTTCGTCGGGAGAAACTGACTTCTACCGACGACTTTTTTAACTTTGAAACAAATTTCGTTGGGAAAGCAATAAATTATTGTAGTGCGACCTTGGCCAATGAAGGCCTGGCGAGGATGTCGACCACCCAAGCATTGACTTTGGGCTGCGCCTCGCTTCTTCGTCGGCGTCATCAACAGGTAGCAGATGTTGGACATGTGGTGCAGCCAAGCTGAACTGGTCGCCACCCAAGTACTTGGATTTCCCCAGCTGTTTCTCGTAGATGTCTAGAACTTTGCCCAGCTTCCATTCGTGCTCCGCCACCACCGTCGGATCTGTCTCGCCGTACTCGAATATGGGCTTCACCATATCCTCTTACAACAGTGCCACTGTCGGTGGGTCGTAGTTGAAAGGATCGGATCCCGCAGTAGAAGCGTGCAAACATGTGTGCTTCGATCTTGTTTTAGAATTTCAACAAAGAAAAGACATAAGTACGAGTAAGAAGGAAGTTGGTGATACATACCTTTGAAGACACCTCTTCAATGTAGACACCAACGCCACCAAAAAGTCTTCCTCGCTATCCTGTAGATATTAATAACTCAGTTTGTGAGAACCGTCTTATAATTGGAAGAGAAACCGAAAGATCGAGAGAGAGAATTTCTCGTTGGAGTTTCGGAAACTCAACAACCAAGAGTCGGGAGGAAAGGGGTGGGTGGATGTGATTTTGGGACTTCTCTGATTGATATGTATGGGTAGTGTGTGAGAATCAAGGAGGGGTTGGTTGTTTTCCAGGCAATGAAAGAGACTAATGTCTTTACTTGGAATGCACTCATTAAAGGGCTAGCTTTGGCCAAGAGTGGAGAGGAGGTCATTGCCTGGTTTAAGAGAAGTGATGAAGAAGGATTTGAGGCTGATGAACTGACATTAGTGGCAGTGCTTTGTGCTTGTAGCCACTCCAGATTGGTGGACAAGGGCAGGGAGATCTTTCGAGCCTTGGTCGATGGGAGCTACGGGTTTTCTCCCGAAATCAAACATTATTCATGTATGGTAGATCTCTTGGCACGTTCAGGGTGTATTGAGGAAGCTTTTGTGTTGATAAAAGATGTCCTTTGATGCTACCAAAGCAATGTGGGGGTCTTTGTTAGTTGGTGGTAGGGCTAATGGGAGCTTGGAAGTGAGCGAGTTTGCAGCAAGGAAGCTTGTTGAAATCGAGCCAGAGAATGGTGCATATTATGTTGTGTTGTCTAATATTCTTGCAGAGATGGGGTGAGGTTGAGGAAGTGAGAGGTATTATGAGAGAGACGACTGAAGAAGGATTGAGGTTGGAAGATGTTTATGAATCGTTTTCGAAGTCGTCGATTGAATTTTGTGAATACAGAAACTGCCACATTTTCAATGATATAGATCTCTGCTCCATAAAACTATACAGACAACAACAAAGGTAATTTGATCGAGGGTTTGCCTTTCATTACTTCTTTCACTATGAAGAAACTGTATTCGCATATGTAAATACTCTTTTACCTGATTTAGCTTCTTATTTCAAATTAGTCTTACTCATATTTATTTTCTTGAGCATAACTCAATAAATTATAACATTAATAACTTTCTTGGTAGATAAGAGTTCGGATCTTCGCCCCAGTACCATGCTAAAGAAAATATAGTTTTTTTTTTTTGTTTTTGCATATAAAAATTAGAAAAAAACAATTGGTCTCTCTGTGGCATCTCTCTGTTTTGTTGAAACGTCAAACCCTTTCATATATTGTAACCAAAATCTCCCAAAAGCTTTCAATGAGTTGACATGGTAAAACCGTCAGATAGATTGACTTTTTCTTAGCTGTTAAAATAAACCATATTTTTCAAAACACTGGATAAAAAATAAAATAAAATAAAGGAAAAAAATGCCAAAGCTGATCTCACATAAAACCATAACTGAATAGACAAAAAGTTTAGAAAATGAAGACTTTCGGTCAAGCATAACTTAACAATTTGGCGGGTTTGTTTTATTAGGAGGGCAGATGCACGGAAATGTCTAAAATTTTAAACCTTCGGAATTTCAGATAATCGCGTTTGTATTATAAAAAAATTTACAAAAATGTTTAGAAATATTTATATTTAAAATTAACTATTGTAAATTAAATTTCCAATTTTAATTAGGTTGATGCTTTATAATAACATAAAATAAGCAATCACACAAAAACGGAGTACAAATATTATATATATATATATATATATATATATATATATATTCAAATCTGATAATATTACGAGGTGACACTAAAAATAGACATCATTTATTCTCATGAAAATATGATAACATTATCATACAGTTATATTTGATTTCCAGACATCTGAACCTATGAGTATCTTTTAAAACCTTGAACCAAATGTTCTCTATGTATTTTACTAAACTCAATTCAATTCTAGTTTCAAGAAGTACTAATTTAAACTTCAATCACATATGCTCCTAGAATATGGCCCTTCGAGCTTTCTATTTGATTGTCATTTTAGTATAACATGTGGGGATGAATGATCGAATTTACAACTTCTTTGTTGGAAATATATGCCAATTACCATTGAGTTATGCTCGTTTTTGGCTAATTTATCTATAACATGAAATTTATAACCTCTATAAATGAAATGGTTATGTTGGTTTTTGTCAAAGTTGAAGAAAATTAGATTAAGTTACTGTTATGGTTCCAACCCATCGAATTCCTTTGATTTGACTAATTTCTTCATTTTTCAATTTTAGCTTTCGCTCATAAAGTTTACAATTTTTGTCGATATATGAATTAATAATTATTACTTGCAATTTTAATTAAATTTATTTACTTATTTATTATTAAAATTATAATTAATTAATTTTCCAATTCGGTTAATATATTTTATTAAAAAGTTAATAAATTTTAGAAGATCGATTAAAGATAAAATATATAATGTAGCAATGTAAAATATTAATGATAAAATATTGTAGCAACTTAGAGAGTAGTGATAAATTATTGTAGTAACTGCGTGAGCGGAATAGTATTTAGTGTAACAAATTTGGGTTTATAAAATTAAACATGGATTTGTATTAATAAATCATACTCTTCGTTTTGAAAACAGGGAAACAAGCACCCACAAATTGACTCGGTACTCACCAACCTTATTAAAAAAGGAAAAAAAAAAGTTTTTTTTTTGAGAAAACCCTCCATTCATTAAACCTATGATTAATTATATAATAATTTCGAGTGTTCTTCTTTGAAACCGTAGTAGGTGGGAATCGGGCCACAATTCACGTTTCCATTAAAGAATTTCTTATGTAACCAAAACCAAATTCGTTCTTCTGTCTCAACTACCGCCACCCATCGCTCAGATTCGTTCCCCCGTCTCTTTTTCTGTATAAATTCGCACCATTTCCAATCTCTGTTACAATCTTCGCCATCAATCCATCAATTTCTTGTCGGTGTCAATGGCGAGCAGCATCAAAGTCCACGGAATCCCCATTTCCACAGCCACCTGTAGGGTTCTAGCTTGTCTGTACGAGAAGGAGCTTCAATTCGAGCTCGTTAATGTCAAAATGCACGAAGAGGAACATAAGAAAGAGCCCTTTCTCTCACTCAATGTAAGTTTGAAACTTTCGATGCCCTAGCTTGCGTTAATTTTCGTGTGGTTTTCACTTTGGTTGGTTGGTTGGTTGATTTGGCAGCCGTTTGGTCAAATTCCTGGGTTCCAAGATGGAGATTTCTCGCTTTTTGGTAAAAATTTATTTGTCTCTTACTTTAAATTTCTAGAGAAATCGTGGTTGTTTGTCTTTGCACACAAGGTGTTTGATAATTTGCCTGTGTGTAGAATCCAGGGCAATCACGCAGTACATCTCGGCAAATTATGCTACTAATGGAACCCAATTGATTTCCCAAGACCCCAAGAAAATGGGGGCCATATTAACGTGGGTTGAGGTGGAGAGCCACCATTTTGACCAAGCAGCCATGAAAGTGATTTGGGAGCTCTGCTTAAAGCCAATGTTGGGTTTGGGTGAGGCAGATGCTGCTGTGGCTGAGAAAGGTGAAGCTGAGTTAGGCAAAGTTCTTGATATCTATGAGAAGAAGCTGGCTCAGTCCACGTACTTGGCTGGTGAGTCCTTCACTTTGGCTGACCTGCACCATCTCCCTACTTTAGACTACTTGATGGGGACACGGTCCAAGAAACTGTTCGAAGCTCGCCCCCATGTCAATGCCTGGGTGGCTGATATCATGGCCAGGCCAGCTTGGGCCAAGGTGCTTGCTCTGCGCACCCAATAGAGCCTGCCCTTGGCATGGCAGGTGAGTTCTTCACTAGATGGGTGATGATCATATATTCAAAACTTGAATAAAAGGCTGTGTTCTCTGGTCTGTCTTTTTCGTTTTGTGAGAGCTCTGTTTGTCACTTGCTGTGTATCACATGTATCAAGGATTGGTGGTTGTGTAGTTCTGAATTTGATGCTATGAATTGGGATTTTGTCTATTAATTCACTGTTGTTTTTAGAACTGTCACCATCTTGCGTAGAATTGGTTTGCAGGTAATTGAATCTGCTTGGAAATTATGCATATTATGTTATGAACGTTAAATGTGAAGTTGGTTTTCTTCTTATGCATATAGATATGAACCTTTTATTTTTGGTCCATATTAGGGGTGCACATCGGTTGGTTGGTGTCGGTTTTAGCATAAAACCAGCATCACTGACTTTGATTTCGGTCGATAGAATCATAATTTTGTGTGTGTGTGTGGTTTTTGATGGATGCTGGAGGTTGAACACGTTTATTTCCCTTGTTATGACTTATGTTTTATAATTTTCTTTCTTTTTGTTTTTCGAGTACAAATATGTTGGACGGAGATTTGAACTCAGACCTTTAAGGTGAAAATGGATGGGTTATTATATCAAGTAGGCTGATGTCCCCTAAATTTGAAAATTTTATTTATATAAATATGTTAATTTTTTAAAAAAGAAAAATATCATAGAATTTGTGCTTGTATGTTATTAATTATAGAAAATTGAAAATTTTAATTATATAAAAATTTCAATTTATACATATACATTTAGCATCTCTTTGGTGTAATTGTTGCAGACAATTTCAATGTGTGTGTTTTTTTTTTAATTTATATGTTGTGATTACATAAAGGTAATGTCTTTTTTTATAAATTATAGTCCCAATATATTTTTTCTTCTTTCTCTATGAATCATCAAATTTTTATAATTCAACTGTTTTTATTTTATATATTTTTAATTTAGTTTTCATAATATGAAAAATTGTAAATAACAATTATGATGTATTAAAATAATAATTTAAATAATTTATGAATTTTGAGACTGTTAAATTGGGAACGATTTCTAAATTTTAAGTGAAGCTTCCTGAAATCTCAAGCCTCGATTCGTCACTGAAGATTAAGAGATAAGAGTGGGAGAGTTAAAAGAAAATAATTAAAGGAAAAAATTGTAGGAAAGAGAGAACTATAATGGAGAAAAAAATAAAGATGAAGAAAAAGAAGGAGAAAAGAGAAACGAGGGAGAGAGATTTGAAGGAAAATGAGGTAAAAATAAAAGTGGGAATTCACGTGGAGGGAAAGCAAAATTCTTTTATATACAACCTACAAACAACCCTCAATTCTCATAATTTTACTAGAAATAAACCTCAAAGAGACCTTAATTAATGGATTAATTCACATTTTTCGTTCTTAAACTGAGAATAAT